CACCGTCTGAAGTAACGGTCGACCGTCCCGGTGACAGTCTTCTGTCTTTGGCTACGTTTTGATCCATTTTGCAACCTTAACACCTTGATTCTTTTTAGAACAATAATACAAACATTGATGAATATATTCCTAGTGATTCCTAGGCCAATATTTATAAGTTTTACGTAGTGAACGTTTTGATGGCTAACCTACGAACATGCATAGATTCTACGTAGGTTGCGTACGATATTGCTATGAATATAACGACATATATTATAACTAAATGTTCTAGAATTAGAGGGGACAACTACTCACCTCTAAATGAAGGGGTTGACGAAACGATGAGACGAGACGAACAAATGGTTGAACGACGAACGAACTTCCTGCGTGAACTTCCTTCTTCTACCTTCCCGTCAACTCGCCGGAGCCTTCTCGCCCAACTGCTACTGTGGGCCGAACAAAGGAGGGGAGAGGAAGAGTTGTGTTGTTGAATGAGAGTTACAAGTTGGTGAAGGAGGTGAAGGGAAGAGGGTGTTTTATAATGGAGGAGTTAATGGTGATAAAGATGAGAAATGAATGGTGGGGGGTTATGGAAGATGAAGAATGTGTGTGTGGCGTATGGATGATGGGGGTTACACAAATTTATTTTACTCTGTTATGTTAAAATCTGACTTGAATGGTACACACTTTTCCCCCCGAACGGGTCCGAATTGAGATCCGCTTGTGTTTTTGGAATCAGACAGTCAAAACGAATTTAATGACATATTCAAATAATTTCTCTAGTAACTTTATTTTCAAACTTCCGGGTCCATCCCAATCATTAATTTATTTATTTAATTAATGTTGAGAGGTCCGTTATTAAAACATCTTTTTATATTAAAATACATTAGCTTTGAAAAGCCATTTAAAGAGGTCGAAATCTCAATATTTATTAATTTTAAAATAATGAGTCTCAATAAATAAATAATATTTATTTATTTAAAACTAGGCCGGTTTGTAGGGCGTTACAAACGTTGCGTTTTGAGCTGGCAACGGAAAAATTCCGTCGCTAAATCTGTAGCCAAAAAAGATCTAAAAACGGGAACTCCTCCCAGTTTCTCCGATTTCGCAGACAGAAACCACAAAGAGTTGTTGTCTAGTTTCGTCTCCTCCGCGACGCCTTCCGCCACCATATTCCTCCGGTCTCTGTCCGATCATCTTCTCCGTCCGCCACCATCAACCGCCGGTCGTCTACCCATCTTCCGTCACCGTCCACTTGAAATCTCAGGTTTTGTTTTTCATTTTTTCATCTTTTATTCAATTTCAATTTCTGAATTAGTTTGTTTTTAATTATAATTGTATTGCTTACATTAGGGGTTTTTAAGTTAACATATTTTGTTTATTACTACCTCCGTCCCAAAGTATTTGTCCACTTTCATTTTTACACATCATCCAATACACTTTTTTGATCCATTTTATCTTGTAATTTGTATATTAAAAAATTATAGAAATTATATATTAATAATCTACTCCCTCCGTCCCGTAAAACACTTCCTCTTTCTTTTTTTATCCGTCCCTTAAAACTCTTCCTATTTCCTTGAAAAAGACTTATTTGCCCCTCCACCCAAACCCCACCCATTCAATACTGACACTCCACATGAATCACATCACTGATTCCCACATCTTCTTCGTCTCTCTCTAGATTTGAGTTTTCCTCTTCCTCTTCTCCAGATCTAAGTTCTTCTCTTCCTATTATGTAAATCTAAATCTAATTTCTCTCTCAAAGAATAGATCTAAAGGTCCTGAACTTCAGATCTTCTTCTCAGCCCTGATCCGATGTTATCCCGCGATTCTTCGATGCCCAATTTTCAACTTTTGAGTGATAGTGATGATGATGCAATTCCTAGATATGGATCCCCTCCTCCATCGAAGGCTGAGATGAAGAGGGCAGAGTTAAATCGTTGGGGATTTGATGGAGGAGATACGGATTCCTCTGAAACAGACCCAACTTGGAGCTTCTGCAAAAAATATCTAGGGGGTGGATACTATTCTGACCCTGAACGGAGTTACGAAGAAGAAGAGGATGAAGAAGAAGATGGGGAATTAGTGACCTCTGCGGAGATAATGGAGATGTCTGAGGAGGAATTCCTCTTTGCAGAACCTACAGGAGACCCTGAAAAATTACATCGATTCAAATAGAGTACATGCTCTATACTCTCTTTAATTTAGATCTGCGTGTGAGTATATTTTGGCAAACTAATGATGCAAATCTCTGCTTTACACGAATAAGATGTGTTCATATGTGAGTTGCTAGTGTTGTAATGTCACCCACGTACTGTGTTGGAGACTTACAAAAATCAATTTTGCCTAGGATTTGTCTACCTGTGTTCATGTGTTTAAATCTGATGCCTCTGTTAAAATTTTCCAGAAAAAATCTGTTAAAAAATAGATTCTATAAGGATTTTCTTTATAAAACAGATGTCACACTGCTTCTTAGCATAAGAAAATACATGCTATACTTCTTCTTAGCATAAGAAAACAGATGCTACACTTTTTCTTAGTAAAAACAGAACAAACTGATTACATGAAAAAAGTTAGTCAACAACAGTTGGTAGTACATACACATCATGTTCTATGACCAATCTGTATGCCAGATTTTCATACTACACTGATTACATGCCGTACAAAATATGTGCAAAAAGTCATTACATGGGAGTACATTAGAGTATTGTACTTTTACCCATGATGTTTGTACATACAAAAAAGTAAGACTTCCAAAACTTGGTAGTCTACATGTGTTCTTCAAGGAATGTTTTTGCTTCGTGATAGACCTCTTGGCTTACCCCAACATTATCTGGTAGCCTTCCAAGTCTGGCCAAACTACTTTTCCCCATGTGTGGAATTTTGAAGTTGTTGCCCCCTTTCTGTTTAAGCACCTCCCCCATTACACTTTGACATGTCAAAAAAACATTGTTTAACTTCTCAGGGGTGAGGGCTGTAAAGGATGTGGTAACAGCAGTGATGAGGTCTTCTAGTTTTCTAGGTGCTGTCTGGTCTTGAATTGTATCAATTGACCTAAAATATCCTAAATCCAAACTGTTAAGTTGCTAACGGTATATTTACAACAAAATGAAAGTTTGGCTTATTTTTATGAACTTTCCATTTTCAATATTTTTTCCTAAAATTTTCATTTTAAATTTTCAAAATTACTTTCTACCTCCATCGTTTCTTTTTCTTTTTTAAAGATTAGTCTTACTTCAGAAAAAATAGATATAAAAAAAACAAAATAACTATAAAACGATAAAAAAATAATGAAATAAACAATATAATCAATAGAAACAACTTGAAACTAGTAAGAAATAAAATAAAAATATACAAAGGTGTGGGTTTTAACATTTTACGCACTATACAAGGTTTTAACGTACCACTTCTTCTTGGTTTGAGAAAAAATTATCTAAAATAATCTCAATTTTACTCGCTTTTTCAAAAATAAGTAGTTCATTAATATTTTGTATTGTGCGTAAAATGTTAGAATCTACTCAATATATTTTTATTTCTAACCAGTTTCATTTCAATTTCTATTGGTCACCTTATTTATTTCATTAGTTTTGTATGATTTTAGTTATTTTTTTTATTTTTTATATCTATTTTTTCTAAGATAAGACTAATCTTTAAAAAAAATAAAAAGAAATGGAAGTAGGAAGTCATCTTAAAAAATTAAATGAATCTCTTTAAAAAAATCAAAAACAAAAATTCATAAAAAATAATCTCAACTTTTCATTTCATGGTGCAAAATAGGCATTTTCGTTAACCCATCGTTAGCAACTTAACGACGATCTAAAACTCGTAAATTTCAGAAAAGTTAAAATTATGATGTATTATAGTGAAATGTGAGAATATTTTTGAAAGATAATGTAAATTAAGATTATTTTGGATAATTTTTTTAATACAAAAAGGTATTATAACAAAAGGATGACAAGCTATCCCCGAATATTTTTTAACACCGACAAGACAATTAGTTGAGAGGGTACAATAAGCAATAGCAAATTTGTAGGAATAATGATAATGGGAGCTAGCTATGGACCTATAGTAGAGGAGCATAGCACGTTGTTATAGCTAGGTCAATTGGTGGACAAAATGATTTTCCCACTTTTTTCAACATTGGAACTCCGGTACGGTGACCAAAAAATATGAATGGAAATGGAAAGAACAGACAAACAGACGTTAATGAAATGTACGTTAAACCTAAACAGAGCCAAAATTCCTTCTAAACAAAAGCAAGCAAAGCAGAGCAAAACAAAACAAAAAGCACCAAACAACAGTACAACAATATATAATGTCCATTACTCCCCGTCCTAAAAGAATTATATTCTTTCTCTTCAAAAGTTACCCAAATTTTTGTTTATTTGTGTATTTTGATTTATTATTTGATAGATTAAAACACTACTCCGGGGTACAAGAATTGACAAAAAGGATGATAGAAAATAGGGACGGAAGTCGTTCGGACGCTACGAACGTTAGAATTAGCAACAAATAATACACGTTCACCAATTTTAGCGACGGAAAGCTAAATCCATTGTTAAATATACGCAGGAAGTTTAATTTAAAGTCTATTGGCGTTTCCGACACTAATATGGACGGATATTTAAAATCCATCCCCAATTCCACACACACACACACACATATATTCAATACTAGCGAAAATATGACGATGGATAGGGTACCGTCGCCATTTCCGTTGTCTGACCTAATTCCCTACGGAATTTAAGGGGTGGCGACGGAATATTTAAGGTGTCATTCCGCCCAATTTTTGTGGTGAATTATTATTGTCACTACTTGTTTTGGAAAATTTTTAAAATATTTTTAAAATTTACAAATTTTATTTTTAATACTTATACTAGTTTTTAAATAAAATAAATTACTCCGGTAAAAGAATTTAAAATTTCGCTTCATTTTGCGTACATGTAAAACATTTTAAGATGATGCCAGAAGTACAAGTGAATAACACATATATATCATCCTCCTTTACCAATTAATTATGTACGGTAGCGGTACCAAAATTAAAATGGTTGGAATTGCCAAGGGAGGATCTCCTCATCAAGTGTCTGCGGATTATATAACAGCTTACGAAAGCCTGGGACTAGAGGAATACGACAGCGCCGCCGCCGCCGCCGGACAGCGTCCGCCGCCGAAAGTCGTGTCATTTCTCGGCTCGGTTCTTGAGAAGGCGATTATGATGAATAATAAGGCGGCGTGGAAGAAGAACAAGGACAATAATAATAATAATAATCTTCTCGTCGCCGTCTTCCATGGCAGCAGGGCTCCGTCTCTGACGGTTCATCAGTACGTGGACCGGATTTTCAGGTACTCGGACTGCAGCCCGGCCTGTTTCGTGGTTGCTTACATTTACTTGGACCGGTTCGTTGCCCGGACCGGCGCTGTTCTGACGTCACTTAACGTCCACCGCCTTCTCATTACCTCCGTCATGTTGGCCGCCAAGTTTCTCGACGACCGGTGAGCCTTTCCGTCTACCCATCTCCGATCTTTTTTGTTTTACTCAAGGGTAAAAATTAATAAGGGAGAAAATAGCTCGCATAACTCTCTTTATTAGGGAAGATAGTAAAGCATATAATTAAACTTCTATTCTTACCGTATTTCTATTCCTAGAACTAAGCAAACTAGGAAAGATACTAAACCGAATCCCAAAGGGATTCAGTTCCAGTTTCCTCTTCTGTCGCCAACAATTTTTTAAGGCATTTTACGCAAGCTATTATGGTAAAAAACATTAAATTTCTAGAGTGTTGACACAAAGTTTTCTCAAAAATATTAAAAATTAAGTGTCAATTATAATCCTAATTTTTTATTGTACGGTTAAGAACCATTGGCTCCGATTGACACTGCGGTACCGCTCCATTAAGATTTCCTAGCTACCCCGATAAACCTTGTACCCCGGCTTGATCGAACCCATCCAACCATCCCTTTCCATTGTACTATACCCTCAAAGCCTTCAAAATTTAGAGGGTGCAATTGAAGAAGTGTTAAGTGAGTTAAGTTCAGATTGGGCGGGTGGGAGTTTTCTGGAGGTAGGAACCACGCATCAATAGAACACTAATGAAAAGAGTAATGATAGAGTCACAAACAATTTCGGCACAAACTTGTTATTTGTGTATTTTTCTAAGTAAATAAAATGATTTTAAATAATTTAAAAAAAATTACATATACACATGGTAAGTTTGTAAAGTTTGTGTCCAAATTATTTGTGACTCTAGCATTTGGAAATCGGTGTCATCTAAAGCCACACAAAGTGAGTAGCTCTAGATCTTCTAAGGCCATTGGGTATGCATGTAACGCCCAATGGCGTTATTGCATTTTTAACGCCCCAGGAGCGTTAAACACCGCCCCCTTGGGGTTTCATCCGAGCGTGATATGCATTGCGTTAAACTTATAACGGGCGTTTTGCCCAATTTTCTTCAAATTAAAAAAAAAACTCTTCCTCTAAACACCCACAAAATATTTTCCTCTTCAATTTTTTTTAAAAATAAAACTCACAAACAAAATCTTTCTTCTTTAATTTTTTTAAATTAAACACCCACAAAATCTTTTCCTCTATCTTCTTCAAATTAAAAAAAAATATTCAATTTTTTTCATCTTTTTAACATGAATTTCTTCATTTTTGATGTTCCTCTGTCCGGTCTCGAGTCAAACGACCAAACGAATATAATTTTCTTTTGAGAGCAGACATAACGAGATCAAAGCTAAATATAATTTGTTTTAATTTTTTAATTAAATGTTCTTTTTTATTGAAGTTAATTATTTTCATTTAATGAATGTATTTTTTTTATTATTTGTGTTTTAATATAATTAAATAATACAGTAAATTAATTACATTTTATTAATTTAATTTTAGAAGATGTATATTTAAAAATGTAAAAAATGAAGGTTTGAAGTCCCAGTTTGAAGCCTGAGGTTTCAAACTCATTTCCAGTGAATTTTGGGTGTAAGTTAAAGCTGACATGACAGAGAGAGAAAGTTTGATGCCCCGGTTTGAAGCTCCGGGGCTTCAAACATATTTCCAGTGCTTTAAAATGTTGATGCTCTTTCTCAAGTTCCAAAATTATCGATCAAAGCAACTTTCGATTTTTTAAATCAGCACTGAAAGTTTAAATTTATTTTAAAAAGTACAGTATTTGGTGAAAATGACTCATTTTTCTTTTAAAACCGGCCATGTATGTGGCCTGGGACGTGAAAAGGGTGAAACGAAAAAGTACCAATATAGATTGCCCATAAGCGGAAAATCTTGACAATCTTTTTTTAATTATTATGCCCTCGCTTATACGGTCTCTTAATATGCTTTTTTGTTTGTCTACAATATATCTTCTCATTTTATTTTTTAATAATAAAAATACCACAACTACCTCCATTTATTTTATTTATTACACCTCACCCACCTCATTTAATAAACTTCACCCATTTTTCATTAAGGGTATTATGGTAAATTTTACCTTTTTTCAACTCTCCTTGAAAACCACCAAAAGTCAAAATGAGAACATCTTAGGGAGACAGAGGGAGTATCTTTTTAATATGTCGTCACTTTTATGAGGCTCTTCTCATGATATTAAAATCTCATGTCATTAGATGATTCGAGATCGCTATGGTGTCTCGTTTGTAAAATTGGTGGTTCTTACTCCTTCATCCTTCGCAAACCCTTCTATCCCACCTCGCCCCTTACCTACCCCAACCCCCTCCAATTGCACCATCCAAGTTTATTTGACTTTGGAGTCAAAATTTTGACTCCAAAATCAAATATACTTGGGGTGAAATTGAAGGGGGGTGGGATGTGTGCCTGTTTGGTTCGGGCCCCGGTGAAGAGTTTATCGGGAGATTAGGAGGGTAAAAACCGTTAATTTTACGAACAGAGCACCGTGACGGTTTCGAGTCATCTCATGACATGGGACTCCGGAGTAATTATTTAACGAATTGCATTGATGGAATGGGAGGAACATGCAGTTGTTATAACAATGGATACTACGCGAAGGTTGGAGGGATAAGCAACTCAGAGCTGAACAAGCTGGAGTTGAAGCTGTTGACAGCTCTTCATTTCCAGCTCCACGTTACTCTCCCCACCTTCAACGCCTACTGTCTCCACCTCATCCGGGAAACCCAATCTCCGGTCAACCACCCGCGGCGGCGGAGGCCGCCGGTTACACTTTTTGGTTTCACAAAATACATTGGGTTCGTAAGAAACTCATCAAACTAGCTAATAAGCTAGTTACGTACATGTGGTACGCTACAATATTACTTTACTCCTTTGGAAAAACACATCTACTGTACTCTAATTTTTTATACACTTCATAAAATATTTTTATTTTTCTCTGAAATGTTTAAAATATATCTCATTATATAATTTATTGTGGATAAAAGTTGTTTTGGAGATATTTTAGTTAGAGAAAAAAAATACTTTATGTAATGCACAAAAAATTAGAGCGAAAATGTTTTCAATAGAAGTATTTGATTTTTGTCGTCCACTCGATCAAGGGTGTATTATTCTTCTACATATACTATATGCGGTCCTAATTTTAATGTAATGATAGTCTCTCCCGTAATGCCACATTTCAAAAACGAGGTAAAATATCAAATTTTTCAATTTATTGAGAAAGACTAAAGTAGGACTAAAACATTAAAATATATACCAAAATAGAACTTTCATATTTTTATTCTTAAAATAAGACTTACATTACCAAACATGGTCATGTACATTACCAAAAAAGTGTAGTAATGTGCACATGTACAGTGTTACATTACCACAGTGCTAAGTTTTATTTCAAAAAAAACATAAAAGTCCTATTTTTATACTTTTCTCTATGTTTTAGTCATATTTAGGGTGATTTCTATTTATTTTGTTTAAATACTGGTTTAGAAATAAAAAATAAAATTTACATTTTTTATGTTATCAAATAATCAATAAAAAGTACAAATAAACAAAAGTTCCCCTGACTACTGAAAAACTAAATGTGGCAAACATTTTGGGATAAAGGGAATACTATTTTCATCCTATAAAATTGAAAGTGAAAAAAAATTGAAATTTAATGTATAAAAAAATTTAGGCGTTATTTTTTAGTTTTGCTCTTATGTTACTATTTCTTTCGTGCTAAATTAAATTGCATGTTTACTATTTACGTGATCAAACTTCATTTATTTCCATTCTCTTTTTTCAGTGATCATTTAATAAAATAAAATAGTTATGCCACCACTAATTTTGTAAATATTTTGATTTTTTATTTTAATATGTAATTTTAATTTTTTAATTCTACACAACTTTTCATATAAAATAGTTTGAAAATAATTTCAATTAAACAACACATGCAATATGAATTGGATAGAGGGAGTGTAACTAGTAGACCTGGCAAAATTTGACCCGACCTGTTACTAATCCGAAACCCGACCCGAAATTAGCGGGTTTTGAACATTGATTTTGCGACCCAAACCCGAAATGACTCGAACCCGAAGACCCGTTAATTTTTGGGTCAGAACGGGTCGGGTTTGAACCGACGGGTTATGCACTTAATTGTTTGTTTTTATTAGTTATTTAGTTTTATATATTCATTTAAAATATGATATACCCATTAGGCTACTCAAAACTCAAAAGACGTAATATATATATATATATATATATATATATATATATATATATATATATATATATATATATATATATATATATATATATATATATATATATATATATATATATATATATATATATATATATATATATATATATATATATATATATATATATAGTTCTCCCACTCTTCCACCGTTCGTTGATATTAGATGCCAACTCAATCAAAATGGTGAGAAGACACCAGAATAATAGTGGAATTTTTAATCCTATTTCATCTTCTTCAATTGCTCCTACGTGTAACTCAAGTTTTTTATCTAGTGCAGTTTTTTTGGTATGCTGCAAAAAGGTGATTTTTTTTGGGTATATTACAATTCTCTTTTGGTATGTTGCAAATAAAACTGCAAACTTTTATGATTTCGTTCTTTGTTTTGAATAATGCTCGGATCACATGATCTCGAAATAGCAAAATTTTTAATTTTTAAATACGCCTCTTAACCCGTTGGGTCAACCCGAACCCGATAACTCTGGGTCATGAACAAGCACTCTTAGACCAGAACCCGAAGTGACTCAAACCCGAAATAACCAAACCCGATTATACCGAACTCGAACCCAACCTGACCGACCGTTTTGCCAGGTCTAAGTGTAAGGTATAGTAAGATGTAAATATGTAATATGATGGAGATACTGAAAGTGATATGCCACCACCAATTTTGTAAATATTTTGATTATTTTAATATGTAATTTTAATTTTTTTAATTCTACACAACTTTTTATATAAAATAGTTTGAAAATAATTTCAGTTAAACAACACATGCAATATGATTTGGATAGAGGGAGTGTAAGGTATAGTAAGATGTAAATATGTAATATGATGGAGATACTGAAAGTGATTAGTTATAATATGATAGGTACGTAGGTTAATAATTTTAACTACAAAGGAGTGTTTTTTTAGACGAATAAAAAATAAAATAAAAAAGATTTTTTTTAATATCAAGGCGTACCCATTCACGAACAATATGACCATCAATATCGAGGTGTATCAAAAAAAAACTTCCTCCGTCCCATTATATTTTTCCAGTTTTCACTTTTGTAGTCAATCAAAATCGATATTTAACCTATAAATAAATAAAAATTACTCCCTCCGTCCTGAAATGTTCTTCTCACTTACTATTCATACGGTCAAACTTTAATCACTTTCTTTACCTATTTTCATTAGGTATTTGATAAAATAATATAGTCTGGTCACTACTTGTTTTGTAAAAATTTTGATGTAGTTTTTAAATATATAAATTTTATTTTTTAACTTTACACCTACAATCAAATAAATTGAATTAAAAATAATGTCGGTCAAACTTCGTAAACAGAATCGGGAAGAACATTATAGGACGGAGGGAGTACATGTTTAGTGGCATTTAAATGGTCAATTTTTTTCCACTTTGTTTAACTATTTTCATTGTTTATTTGACAAAATAACATAGTAGTTTCACCTCTTGTTTCATAAACTTTTGATTTACTTTTTAAACATGCAAGTTTTATTTTTTAATTCGAACTCAATCTTAAAAATAATAAAATTAAAATTAATTTATTCAAACATTGTAAACCTAAAATAGACACTATAACTTAGGACGGACTATATTAATAAGATAACACTATTTTGAAAAATATTTTACAACATAAACATAATAAATTATTCTTGTATCAACATCTAATCTGAATATTTAATTAATAGTCAAAAGTTATCAATTTTGACTTAAAAATCAAAACTAGACAAATATTCTAGAACGGATGTAGTACGTCTCTCTCTTCTATACAATTTTCAACAACTCATTGTTTACTATTTAATTTTATTTTGATGGTGTAAATATAGCTGGGTGGGCAGTTTGGGTTTGACCTGGATACTTGACCCGTAATATAAAACACACAACAAGAACACAACATATGACCGAGACCGGGTAAATCTCCTCAATCCGAAATATATTTCTTACTCTGTCTCAAGAGTGTACTAGTTTTAGTGAGAGAAAGAATTGATTCCCTCCTCTATCCAATATCATCATATTTATAGAGGGGGATTTGTGACCTTCCCCTGTTCATCCATGGACAAAATAGGAAACCCGGAGGAAGGTCACTGTACATAATCAATCTACTATTCAATCAATGAATTTAGCAACTACAAGCCAAGACATGTACTATTCAATCAAAGACTATAACATGGATATTCTCAATCCAATCGATCCTGCAAAATGACAAATATTCCTTTCACTGTTTGCCTCGTGACGGACGAACGGCGGGGTGGCCCCCTGGCCTCTAATGTTGATTGCCATTCCCAAGTAGCGCAACCTGACCGGTCACTTTTTCTCAAAGGTTATCCGGTCATTTCTTGAGCTCAACCCATCTCTTTGGTCCTCTGGAATATCCTTCGTAACATCAGGTGACGAAATGATTATCGCCCAAAATGTGACTGGTCACTTTTTTAGTGGAAGTGACCGGTCAACTTTTGACCCGTCCCAATCGAAGAGTCAACCTCATTTGGTGATTGATAAAAGTGACCGGTCACATATTGACCTGTCCCTTCCGGTTATCCGGGTCGGGTATAAGGATATACCCATCATATTTCAAGGTCCACATTTAAAATATAGACCTTCTCACATTTTTCATGAGCTTGGATGTGGATTTTTTTGTTGGCAAATTATATGGTGGATCAAAGGTCCACCATGGACCTACATATGAGAAAAATAAGCACTTTTTTTTACTTAAATAAGAATCTATTTTTTAATTAAAAAAAATTTATGTGAGAAAATCTACAAAAATGATATGTATCTAAGATGTACCATTGAAGTACTCTTTCTTGTTTGAAAATCCCACTTCTTTTTTATCATAAATGCACTAAGGTCTATATAATGACCATCCATGAACTTTAAATTCACGGAAGAATTTGCTTTTTTTTAAATATCTGTGAAGTCAAAGCTAGCAATTCTTTATGACGAAAAACTTATTAATCCGGGTATTATTATTAAGAATATTATTATTGTAGTTATTATAATTATAATTATACATCATCATCATCATGGTTATCATCAGACAAAATCATCATCATCTTCATACTATTATTTTTTTTGAAGGTTCTTACTATTATTATTATTATTATTATTATTATTATTATTATTATTATTATTATTATTATTATTATTATTATTATTATTATTATTATTATACTCCCTTCGTCCTAAAATTAACTTCTCATTTGACTTTTCACGGTCTTCAATGCGACACTTTGACCATCAATATCTCAATTTTTATATAAATATATTTTATAAAAATTATATATTTCAAAACTATGTTTCAAAACGAATCTATTGCTAATAAATTTATATGAAAATTCAATTTATTTTTTCCGTAATATACGGTCAAATGTTAAAAAATTTGACTACAAAAGTCAAACTGGGAAGTTAAATTTAGAACGGAGGAAGTACTATTTTCTTTTCAATATTTTTGTGATTTGATATGATCTAAATGAATATAATCTAATGAATGGATATGATTAATTTGATTCTAATTAAATCAAGTAATTAACTAAAAATTACTAGTCAATGACATAGACTTGTCCTGAACACGGTTTTGAAAAATTCCAAACTTCATTTAAATGGCTCAAATCAACTCTAGTCCCACATTTGAAATCAAACATATTACGTTAATTGTGAGTTAGAATTTTCAAGCATAATCCTAGCAGTTTCCTACTATATAAAACCCACCAAAGATGCTTCTCCCTTCCATCCTTGTACTTGGGTACGAAGCCATGGATGAGGTGAAGTTACTTGGGTGTTGGGTGAGTCCATTTGCTCACAGAGTAAAATGGACTTTGGAGCTAAAGGGAGTGAAGTATGAATACACAGAAGAAGATCTTTCAAACAAGAGCCAGCTGCTTTTGGAGTCCAATCCAGTGCACAAGAAAGTCCCTGTGCTTCTTCATGGTGACAAAGCCATTTCTGAGTCTGCTGTCATACTTGAATACATTGATGAGGTCTGGCCTCAGAATCCCCTGTTTCCAGTAGACCCTTACGAAAGAGCCCTAGCTCGGTTCTGGATCAGCTTTGCGGCAGATAAGGTAAATATATTACTCCGTCCGTCCCAAAAACAGAAGTTCCACCGTTGTCTTGGCACGAATTTTAAAAAAGTGTGGTTGAAATTGATGATAAAGATCGCGTTTTTTCTTCTAAAAGTGAGAAGTAGAACCTTTTTTGGGACAAATAAAAAGAGAAATGTGGAACCTATTTATGGGACGAAGGGAGTATTGTCTTACTTCAAGTTATTATACAACAAAAACCCAAGTTTTGAGTGTTCATAACATTATTATACAACAAGTTGATTGCTTGATTGTAGTGAGTGTTCAAAGTTTAAACACGTATTTGGTTGTCGCAGGGCAGTGTTTACCACTCATTCATTGTGTCCAATGAAGAAAGCAGGGAGAAGAGCAAAGAAGAGCTGATACAAGTGCTCAAGGTATTGGAAGATGAAGCTTTGAAGGACAAAAAGTTTTTTGGGGGAGATGAGATAGGAGTGGTGGACATCATATTTGGAAACATACCTCATTGGTTTGAAGCCATGGAAGAAGCTGTTGGTGTGAAAGTAGTTGAACCAAATACTCTGCCTCGCCTACACGCCTGGGCTCAACGCTTCAAACAAGTTCCCGAGATCAGCCACAATCTGCCCCTTTATCATGACTTGCTTCTCTTTGTCAAGGGCTTTAGGCAGAGCCTTATTTCAAACACACCAAAGGCTGCTGCCCAGAGTCTGTAATCTCAGCACTATAGTCTGTAATCAATATATATTAGTGGGTTTAATTAAAATTGAAAAACAGGAGTCTCAAGACTTCAAAATTGAAAGCTATTAATGGCTCTAAATGTTACATCTTTCATATAAATAAGATGCTTGTTTCTTCCTTTTCATTCTTTTTTTACTAAATAATTTGAGTTTTTGTTGAGGTTTGTGGTTGTAATATAGAAGTTGTGTGAGAGATTATGAATGTGCCTTGTGTTGTAACCCAATACTCCCTCTTTCCAAAAACTATCATCTTGTTTCCGATTACGCGGGTTAACTAAATTTGTTTTCAATTCAATTTATCTAAATAATGATATAATATTTCAAAATAAATATTAGTACTGAGTAGTATATAATTAAAAATGACATAAAGTGCTTTTTAAAACAAGACGTGATATGACTATTATTCTAAGAAAATGATTAGCAAAATTAAGTGATGAAAGAAAAAATGGTTTGACCTCCAAGTAGTAAAGAGGAAAATAATTTTGAGACGGAGGGAGTATATATGAACCAAAGATTTTTGGTGACTATAGGCATATTTCTCTATCCACATTCATGAGCAAAGTGAACACAAGGACTCTTCCCACTAGACTCAGCAAGTTGCTGCCTCATGTGATTTCCTAAGGAGCAAACTGGGTTTCAAGAACAAAAAGGCGTGGAGGAACAGATTCTATTAGCTAAGGAAATGGTTCATATGCTAGACAAAGACACAATGGTGGTGTAACTGTATCATTAAGTTCCCCAAAATTCCCCAAATCTCCCTTCTCCCACTTCAACCTCCACAAGCGACAGAATTCGGACAACTCCAATTCCACGTTCTTCTTCTCCGTCGAGAGCATAGCAGCACCGGCAGCCCCACCCCTCCAGCTCCACCGCCGGCAGACCCACCCCTCCAGCTCCAGCGCCGACAGCCCCACCCCTCCAGCTCCAGCGCCGGCAGACCCACCCATCCAGCTCCAGCGCCGGCAGCCCCACCCCTCCGAACAAGTACTGACACTAACTTCCCTTTCCTTGGTCTATTTCTTGATCTCTCTGTTTCTAAAATTGATATAAACCCTAGGGAGGTTCAGATCTTGGATCTTATTCTACATTGGAATTTTAGCATCTTTAGTAAATACTCTGTAGTAATTAATGATTTTCGGACAATTCCGAAGTATCAAAGACCATATGCCCTAACCATGGTTTAAAAAGTAATAATCATGGGCAGTTCAAGGATCCAGTTTATGATATACTCAAGTATTTACTTCTTTTTTTAAAAAAAAATTGATTTCTGTGAAATATGTTTCGTGAAATATTTGAACTTCATATAAGATTATTGTCTGTAAATATGTTTCGTGATTTGCAAAAAAAAGAAGGTAATATATTCACTGACTTTTAACTTCTGTGAATTTACATAATACCTACAGTCACTGTCTGGGAATATATATGGTTTCTGCTCTTGTTCGTACATAGGATTCTGATGCTCTGTTAGAATTCAGAGACAGAAGAGATAAAGGAGGGGAGGTGCTGAGGAAGATGATGTATTTTATTTATGAAGTTGAATTTAGGGGTCTTTTATTTTTGTGAAACTCTTTGTAATTATTTATGTGCTTTGTAATGTATTTTTTTGGGGAAACACTTTAGATTTTGGATTAAGCTATATGTACATTTTTTGGTGTAAATGTAGCATGGTCCTTAGCATGTACCCCACTTGTTATTGGACTTTGTCCCGAAAGCAGTGTTTGGAGGGAGTGTTTTGTCCACCCGCTATTCATTTCTTTCCAAATGAAAAATTGTTCAGTTAATACATTTAATTAAGTCTTACGGCTGTTTTTTGCAGTTGTGCAAAGGACTGTTTTACATTAAACACTCATATAGTTTATGACTGAATTACAGGTTTTCCCAGTTTCTTTGAATGATCTAAATATTTCTAAAATTGTTATAAAAGCCATTCAAACATAAAAGAGGTTTTATTTTGAATGATATAGATGATTAACTTCTATTATTTGAACTTCATATAAGATTATTGTCTGTGAAATAGGTTTGCTTGTTATTTCTGCTTACTGTGCGAATTGTATGACATAGATGGTTAAGTTCTGTTATTTAAACTTCATTTAACATTATTGTCTGTGAAAGAGGTCTGCTTGTTATTTTTGCTTGCTTTCTGTGAATTGTATCTCATAGACGATTAACTTCTGTTTATTGAACTTCATATAACATTATTGTTTGTGAAAGAGGTTTGCTTGTTATTTTAATACTATTTTCCCTTGCAGGTATGGCAATTGTGGAGTGATGGTGCTAGCATTTCTAGAGTATTTGTTGCTAGCCTTACCATTAAGCCCGAACTGCCGTTCTGAACACATGGCTGATTTCTGATGTCAATTTGCAGCTAGGTTATGGCGTGGAAGGAAAACACCTAATATTTAGCATTTTTACTTTACAATTTTAGGGGTCTTTAATTTTTGTGAAACTCTTTGTAATGGTTTATGTGCTTTGTAATGTATTTTTTGGGGAAACACTTTAGGCTTTTATGAAAGCTTTGTAATAGGGCTTTTATAATCATGAATTTGTACTTGTTAATGCACAATGTGTTAATGTATGTGATGACTGATTTACATTAGTTTATAACTGATTTACAATTTTACTTTCAGAGCCCTCACAGAGAATAACTGTCTATTTTATCTATTTCACAGAAATTTAATGTATGTGACGACAGAGTTACATAACTTTATGTGCATACACCATCTTCAGAATCTTATCACATTTGTGGGGGTCTTGTAAAGGTAAAAAGAAAGTTAAAACGCATACATTAGATTTCAGCGGGCTCACATGAAATAACTGTCTATTTCACACACTTCACAAAGACTTAATGTATGTAAAAACAGAGTTACATCAGGTTTACATCAGTTTATGCGCATGGAACTCAGAGAAAGTTATCATATTTGTTACATACTTTACACAAAAAGCAAAAAGCTATGTGAAATATAATTCCCATGCTCAATCCAAAAATGAGAGCAGAGTTCTAGATCTGATGCCAAAAAAGGACAATTAAAACTCAACGTAGTGAAATGCCAAGCTCTAGACCTCCCAAGGTGAGGTCGTAAACACCATTTTTGTCTTGCACGGGCCAAGCATGTTGCCGTTGTGATGCAAAGATCTCAGACGCATCCATTTTCTTCCTCTTATTAGGTAGGTTATCATTTTTTCTACCCTCTTTCGGTTTCGGGTTTTTCTCTGCAAAAAACAGCACCTTTAATATAGTACAATGCCTGACTATGAAGAAAACAAAAATACACCAAATGCAGAGTGCATACAGATTATTAGCATCTGTGACAAGGACAAACTCTAGGTTTACAGAACTTTAATCTCTGTAACATCAAAACAAAACAGTATTTTTTCACTAATTCAAATGAATATAGAATGGGGTCTAAATATCAACACTTACAACTGGGCTGCAAATCATATAAAACAAGGTCTTCTTCTTCACCACCAAAATCATGTGGTTGATCATTCTCAACATGTGTAACAATACATGTTTGTAAATCCATAATCACCAAATACCCTATGTACTCCACAAAAATTCAAAAAATTATTGCTATAGAAATTGACTAAAAATGGAATGAAGAGAAGAGATTGACAGATGGATGGTCGTGCTACAGGGGTTGACGCATCAGAGATATGAAGAGGAAGATAAGAAAAAGAAGATATTACCTGCCTTGTAGGAAGAAGAGCGCAGAAAATGGAGAGAAGAGTGGTGCGGCTGGCTTGCGCGGAAGAGCAGAGCCGCCAGGCAGCGACGTAGAGGAAAGAACAAAAGAAAAAAAAGAAAAAAAAGAAAGAGAAAAGGTAAAAAAATAGGTTAAATAGGGAGGCAGCAAAGGAGGCAATGGTGGGTGCACTGTAGCACGGTCCTTTTCAAATTGGTCTATTTTTGAAATAAAAATAACTTTTTTTGTTAAGTTATAAAAAAGTCTTCACTCTTTTTCCTCTGTCTGTCTCAAAAACATCATTTTCTCTTTAATAAAGGAATGAGTGACTCACAATTCTTCTTTGTTTTTTCTAAACAAATTCAAATTGTAAAGTTTTTTATTTTTAATATTTTCTTAAACTACGTGAGCAAAAAGTCAAATAAGGATTTTTCTCTAATGAAGGGAGTATATATTTTTTTCAAATAAATATTTTCAATGAATAGACATTCTAATTTGAAAAATTCTATTGTAAATACTTCATTTAAAAGATTTTTTCATTTTGTCAATTTACCTTAATACTCCGTATAAATTAATGACTATCATTTGATAAATATGTATATATTTGACATATATCTTAATATATATAAAAACATATAATAAGTCATAATTTAAAAATAAAAATATTTAAAATGCGTACATATCTGTATCCGTATGCCGAACGTTTAATATGTATACTAAGTTGAATTTTATAAAAGTTTAACACGTACGTACTTATTGACGTATTAAATATATATTACCAAGTGCTGGTGTATGGGTGGGAAAGAGAGTGTTACACAATTAGAAAAAAAGAATGCATATCAGCTATTGGATTTTTTTTTGGAATAAGCTGTTGGATTTAAGATTAAAGACTAGTAAGACCCTGTTTCGTTCAACTTTTTTTTTAATATTTTCTTATTTTTATTAAAATGAGATCAGAACTACAAAAAATCAAATCAGATGAGAAAAAATAAATTTAACGGGACACCTGACTACTATTAAAAATGGAAAGATCTAAAAAAATTGAGTAAAATGAACCAAAAATGAACTTTTTGTTTTGAACTGAGTACTTTATTTATCATATGTCGGGGTATTTATACATACACAAGGAGGAGGTAAAGTCTAGGTAAACAAGGTAACCAGATATTCTAAATAATAAGAGTAATATATCTGCTATATTTAACACTCCCCCTCAGATATATCATCGTTCATTATACACTAACAACATTATGCTACGGGATAATGTTGGCTAGGTTCTTCAGGATCTATAGTAACTGATACTACAGGATCAGTTATGCTGCCTCATTAAAAACCTTACTAAGAAAACCCAGTGGGACAAAACTTAGTTAAGGGAAAAAGAGTACAGCGTGTATAATATTTTCCTTCAAAATATACTCCCCCTCAAACTAATTTATCTCTTTTAGCCTGCGAAGTCCAATCTTCTTTCTGAGTTG